TTCCATCTTCCCCTAACTCACATAGTTTTTGACTGGTTTTAGACGAAATAAATCACATTAATTGTATATTATTTTAGATATAATGATCTCCAATTTTTGGTCAATGAAATGATTAATTTAATATAAAATAGTCAGGAGATTAATTTTGTAGAGTGTAAGGTAATTCGTATTTCATTCGTAGTATTTCCTCAAATGGTTATGTTTGTGAAACCATATACATAAAACTGTTGAAGCAACATTATCATCTGATTAATTCGTCACATTTATATTCGTATACGAACAAATTGGCTTTGGGATATGCTAAGAGTTAATGGTACATTTAAGATAATGAACTGAAGAGAATAAAAGAGAATTTGAAGCAGAATAAAAATTTCCGATATCAAAAAGCAATTAGGGTACGCTACATTAACGAGTCTGATAGAGGAAAATGGAGAAAAGTTGCAGTAATAATTGGGAATTCAAAGCATCTGGTGTTTTAACAGAACATCCATATTACACTGATATCTGCTTCTGAAGCGTTGAAGCCTGTTCTCTCTCTCTCTCGAGGCATGTCACAACCGCTGTTCTACAGTTTCTACGGTCTACGTTCCGCTGTAGATAATTGTAAATGACAGCATGTTTGCAAATTTTTCAATGCTCTCATTCATTCCAGGTCGATGTCAAAAATCTCAAACGCGCAATAAGATTCTTCTTTCCTCTACTTACACTACGTACTCCCGTCCCTTGTCGTGATGACGTACGTGTTCTCAATTACAATTTGATTAATATGTCTTTAGTCGGGAGGTTCTTAACTGAAGGATGGTCTCAGGACAATTGAATCGTTTATTTTAGAAACCCGTCAAAATCTAAAACACGCATTAGCAGTCGATTATTGTTCCCAGAGGACAGACAGATCGTTTAGTGCATATTTATATGAAAAATATTCATTTATCAACTGCTCTAAAAATACAAATAATTTGGATCATATCTTTGAGTGAGCTACACGTTCTTCATCGTATGGTTACGCATTGCCCAGCTGCAGTTGAGAAAGAAACGCGCCAAATCTACGTACCGCATTTGCAGCTGCTAGTGTCTCCGTAGCTCTTGCAGACATCTGGAGAATTATTTAATTGTTGGGTAGTTTGAAATGAGAATACGCGTTCAATTTCTGTTTTCATAGAATGGATGATTCTAGATTTCTCTCATTGAAATGTATCTTGTAACTGGAAGTAAGGAAGATGAGAGAGGAGAGAAAACAAAGGTACGAAAAAAGAGAAGCAGATTGAAAAGATGTGAAGAAAAGGAAAATAAGAGTAGGGAGGCAGAGAGCGGGACAGATAGAGAGGGAGAGAGAGGACAGTGATGGTTATGACAATCATGGCGAACGAGCTCAACCTATTCCCAAGGTTAAAAACTACTTCTTTTGGGTTCAATTTTTCCTTTGGCGGCCGCGCAGGAATTCCCTATGGGACAATGAGTGCAGCAGCCCTTCTGTGGGCTCAGCTGCGAGGCCTGCCTGCCCATCGCTCATCACATCCGTCGTCGCTGCTCTTCAATCACGCAGTCGTGGCTCAGGCCGGCCTCGCTGGGGCACGCTTCACTGGCCACCACCCCGCACCGGCCAACCCTTTGCACAGACCGACCTTGCGTCGAAACGGGCACCGGCTTTGGCAATATGCATTCTGGACTCATTCTCATTTCATTCACTATTCAGGGAGAACAAAATTCATGTAAGTGATTTTTCATTTATACGCATTTTTCACTTATACCTTGCCTGATGAATGGCCTAGAGGCCAGGAACAGCGTCCATGTATAATGACCCGAAAACTGCGAGCGCCTAAAGCATGGGCATTTTTACCATGTGAATGATATTAAGATTTAATATATATATATATATATATATATATTTTAAATACCAACATGTGGACCATAGTTTTCTTAATCATTCATTTCTAGACATATTCACCACTAATCACCTAGCAAACCAGTACTAATCACCTGACCAGGAAATAGAAGGGCATACTATGTATTTATCTTCCCTCATCTACCATTACAAACACACAGGGAACTCTTAATTAATGAGATCTGCAGAACTTGTTTTCCGTCCAGCAGCTTCTAACTTCGGTGATGTACGCTACGCGTTTGAAAGGCGGTTAAGTCATTAAGGTACACAATGACAACTTGTATCATTAATTATATCAAGATATCAATATTTCCATCAAGATGTTAATGTGTGGCATTTATTAATCAACCAAGAGCTTTAGATTTCATACAATTTTTAAATTAAAAAAAAGTAAGAGTATCTCTCATTGTAGGGAACTAAGCATTACCTCAGTTCAACCTTTCATACGACTCTTTTCGAGGAAGAGAGTCGTATTTAGAAAGGTTATGGCAAATACAAAGGAAGAGTTACTTTCTAAATGCGCATTAAGCTATAACATAACAAAATGGTATTCGCAAAAATATCTAAACCAATGTTCGCTTGCCAACATTTTTTTAGAAGAATGTTACAATAGTCAGATGAAATAACCTGCCAGCAATGGAAACGGGAAGATGAGCGGACGGTCAGACAGGCGGGCGACCAGACGGGTGGACAGGCAGACGAGCGGTCGGACAGAAGGGCGGTTGGAAAGAAGAGCGCAGGGACAGACGAGTGGATGGTGAGGAGACTGGCAGACGGACGGATTGACAGAAGGGGGACGGGCGGTCAGAAGTACGGACGTGCAGACAGAAGGGCGGACGGACAGACTGAAGGGCGGACTGACAGGCAGAAGGACAGGCAGAAGGGCAGGTGGCTAGATGGTCAGACTAGTAGATGGTTAGACGAGCAGACCGGAAGACTGGCAGAAATACGGGCGGCAAAGGTTAAAAAAAACACTTTCGGTATCAAAAACCCCGAAGATTGCCGTCAAAATGTTGACATCAGATTTTTGAAATATTGCGTAGTCCAACACGATTTCAGTTTAATTTCGCATGCGTAGCATAAATACTATATTTCGATAAAACGCTTGGCAAATATCGTGACATAAAGCAGAAATGAGCAAACGAACAACTCATGAAAATAAATAGTTTAATTATACTCGCATAATCTCGTCATAAACGTCCTCGGGATATTGTATTGATGTAAACACTTGCGAACATTGTCCAGACAAACGTCGCGGAAATGCGTTTGCAGCCTTTAGAGGTAAGAGTCGTAAGCGGATACAAATATAAAACGATATTCACTTAATTTCTATTATTGTTCAGGCATTTGTCAACGCACAAAACTTCCTAAAATTTTGAACTACGACGCACAATCTGAGCAAAAATTCCATATTTTCAAGTGTTTACTTGTAAATCAACGAATTAAAGCTTTGACTTGCTTAATTTACTGCCTGCCTATATGTAATAATTTACCACTTATTAAAACTGGCTTTGTCGTCATTGCAACACGTCTATTCATCCTACCGGCTGAGATTGGCTCATTGCCGCAGTCTTCGCATCGACTCTGACCAGTAGGTCCTAGATTCGAATCCCGACGAAGACGGATTTTCGACACCAGCTAAATTGCTAGGACGAGTTTAGCCGCTGCCTGGAGGAGAACTGCGGCGGCCGGATGCTCTGATCGGTAGCTTTCCGTGTTCCTTCTGATCAATACCAGGCGAATGCCGGAGTAATTCCCTAACAAATGAGCCACGAGTCGCGCGCCATCTATCCTTCATCTTTCTTGTCATATCCTCCTCCGTAGAGACACAGACGTACTTACATGCACTATTGTACCACACATGACGGAAGATTAGGCGGATGCTTACAGCCTCTCCCGGATGCTGCAGTGCCCAATCGGAGGGTGTATGGGTCGGAGGGAGGAGTAAGTCCCGCCAGCCCGAGTGTAGGTCGGTGCCGGATATCATAATAATGTAGGGCGGAACACCGCTCCCTTTTGCGATAGATTATTCACTACACTAACTGGACTAATGATTATAGCAAATAACGTGCCCGAAAACATCAATCAATTAATCCTATGTGATCCTCCAAGTTACCATTTCTCGCATTGCAGAGGGTGTACAGTAATAAACGTGGATTTCCCCAATGTGCTGTAAATTATACACTCTTCTCACGATAACTTGTGCATTTTGAACATACAGAACATTTTTATCCTGCAATTTCGCGAAAAATATAGTTTTATTATCTAGCAATATTTGTGTGAATTAAGATCTAAATGGTTTTCTAAATCGCTTCAAGTCACAAAGATATCTGCCTATCAATAATTTATAGCACTCTGAAAGTAGTTGTGCTAAAAAAGCACGTACTTTCTCGCCCTATTTTAACGCAAAATTACGCGAAAACTACACAAAATTTATACACGACTTTATTTCAAAATGTATCTTTAAATAAACGATTTCATTAAGGGAAAATGTCTATTTTTAATATTTTAGTTGTAGGAATACTCCGAAATATTTTGCACATTTGCACATTTTCGCAAAATAGGGTTTTAACGAACATGAGACCTGCACAATTCTCTTAAACGACCTTCACGCAATCCAAGAACAACATTTAAACAAATAGAATGGAGCAATTTTTTCAAAATTTGGAAAATGTCCCAGGGGCTTCATGTAAAGTACCGACATCAGCCAGATTGGTAGGGGGAATATCAATTTTGGAGAAAATTGGTTGAACGGTTTAGCTGCTAACGTTGTTCACAGACGGACGGACGTTTTGCATTCGTCATTCGATTTTTTGATATCAAGAACCCAGAAAAAAGATTCTTGCTACACTACGTGTTTGAGGATTTTTGTTCTAAATTTAGTAAGTGGATGTATCAACTTTTTCGTTACCAGGACCCGGTAAGAAAAGTTTTTCTGCCGAAAATTTTCCGTTTTTTTCGCAGAATTATATAACTTTTTTGTCTACTCCGTAGCGAGAAAGTAATAATGATATTGAACTTAAATCGGTAAATATCCACTAAAATGCAAATTTTTGAGGAAAGGCGGCAAATTCGTGTGTAATATTGCTTTAGTCACTTTCTAAATAATAGTTTCAGCTTCATAATTGAAGACAAAATCAAAGCGCTTTAACGCAAAAATATGAGTAATATGTGTGATTAGAATCGTCTTGTCATGAACTTGCAGATGACATTCAGCATGAAATTCTTATTTTCAAATGTGGTTTTTGAATGATGACAAATACAAAATCATGAGAACAGTACAATTTCAGTACAGGAGACACGTTAACCTTAACACCAGTGGCTAGACATAATGAACAGACTGTAAGTAATATACAAGAATTGTTCTTCTCGATTAATTCATCATTCTGAATAGTAAAATATTCTTTGTTGATCTTCCAGATATGAAGAAAAGACCAGTATGTACTACAAGATTGGTACCCAGTTAATTCAGGTATGCAAAACTACGTTATTTAAAACGTGAGCGAAACAGTTTGCTCACTTGTTCGATACACGTTTTTTACACGCCGTGTACCAAAGATATTTCTCGCATGGGGTGTTAAAATATAATTTCATTCATGGCATAGTATTACGTAGTCAGCTATATTCAGTGTTGAAGTTAGAAAAATTGACATTTGCCTTGTTAATGCTTAAAGGTATTATTTTACAGTGAGTGCTATATTGTATTCTATTGTGTTCAACAAAAACTCCGAAATTCAATAGATGTTGTAACAGGAAAGGAAGAAATCAAGTAATTTTAAGCAGACACAAAGTGGCCCGGAGTACATGCTTTTCCTTTTAAAGAAATAACTTTGTCATTTTTTTGGTTCGTTTGTTATACGTTTACTTCGAGCACAAGCAGTCAACCTCTGACCATAACCTGAAACAATCAATGAGATTTCCTACTCATCTCTGAGAGTCGTAAAAAATGAACATAAATATACTTTCCGGTTAGAATGCTGATTCCTCAACTCTATCGACATAAATCCCATGAAACCGGATTTCTTCATCCTGCTCTGTAAAAAGGTTTTCTCCCCGTCTTTCCTCCGCGTTCGTTTGCTGCTGCGTCTACGAACCGAAACATTCTCTTCCCATTACATTGACACAGCGGGGAGTGCCCGCTGCTTCAAGCAAGCGGGGCGAAATACGGAACAACGTGATCCGAAAATGAGTTGTCTCTTTAAAAATACTTATTATCAAACATCTTTCAATTTAACTTAAATTAATGTTGTTATTTCTCAAATGCATTAATGATATTTGGACTTACACATGTATTCTTTCGCTGAAACTCTCGTAAGTGGCAAGTCTGTTAAAGTTTAATTCGCTTGTAAAGGCTGTCAAACACATCATTACACACATGTTTAGTTTTCGGAACCTTTTTCGTACTTATAGGTGGCAATAAAAGTGGATATTTACTGGAAATTGCTAACTTTTACGCTATTGATTATTAAAATATACAAAGTACCTTTTTCACATTGTATGGGTTTTATAAGCGACTATTTTGATTTGTAAAAAAAATATTGCGTGTTGAAATTTGGTATATAACAATTCAAAAAGAAACTCTTAGACAGTCGGAATTTTCTTCTGTAAACTATTTACATTAAGCATCCCCCCTCGCAACTCATGGCAAGCAAGCTAGATTTCTATGCCACGCTCCAGAGTTCGATTCTCAGATGGCACATAAATTGAACTGTGGATTTTCGCTGTCATGTCCCAGTGCATACAGCTGAGTGCTTCTCACAGGTAGAGAATGCCAAATAGATCTTATAAGGGGTTACAACCTGCTTATCACACTTGTCCCGAGCTCATTACCGTGAGACTGGCAGACTGGCTATATATAGTATATAATATAATAATTAAGATATATATATAATATATATTAGTATATATATACCCGTAGCGGAAATCCCCGCTACTCGCCATGCAAGAAAAGACTCGCTCTGCACTTACGAACCAGGCAGGAGGAACGACGATGTACACGTTGGATTCGTAGCACCTTATTCTACCTAAAAATTGAACATTTCTCCACAGCCACCTCATCAATAATTAGGAAACTCCCCCCCAGCGGGCCACCGTTCCAACTGGATCACACTCTAAATCCCCGACTGGGCTCTTGACATGTGTGGTAGTATAACGCATGTGAGTACAAGTGTGTCAACAATAGTTTGAGGTAAGAAAACGGAAGGAAATATCCCGCGTGATCCGTGGTCTATTTGTTAGAGAATTTCCTCTGCATTCGCTTCGTAGAAGAAGAAGAAGAAAAAGAAAAAGAAGGAATGGAAAAAGGAAGAAGAAAGAAAAGAAAGCCCAAGCCCTAACTCACGTGCCATCCGACCCTCCCTGCCCTTCGATTTGCGACTGACACAGCCCTAAATCCGGCTCTGCGTGCATGCGTGCGTGCGTGCGTTTGTGTGTTGTTTGAGCGGCTCCCGGCCGAGGGGGTATCGTTTGCTCGCGCGCGCGCTATCGCCCATAACTCAGAGGGCCAATATCTCTGTTCGATAACAGGCTGCGCACTTTCTTCGGGCCCCGAAGGGCGACCGCCAATGAAATATGCCTCCGCTAATGGCAGAGGGTAGCGCCCGCGTTCGGAAATCGGCCCATTAAGGTCCGCCATGTTGCAAAAGCGACTACCCCCCCGTCTGTCCCCAGCACCCGCCCCGTGCCACCCCGCTCTACGCCCAACGTGGACGTCGTTTCCGTCCGAGGTTATTTTAGTTGAAAACGCTATGCTTTTTCTTCTTTTATGAAGGTGAATTTGTGTGCAAGGTTTGGAATGCGATCATCGTTTCGGTGGAAAATATCTGGCTGAACCTCGCTCCATCCGAATTGTTGCCTTGATTTTGATTTGCTACGTTGGAAGCGTATTCGATCCCCTTTAGCGCCATTAGTGTCCTGCCACCTTTAATAGCTTTATTGCATCAGCTCTAACTCTGGCAAACCGTCTATTTTCGTCTCGTTTGTTCTAGTTTTCGGTCGTATTAATTTAATTCGTTTCTGCTTTCATACTCCTCTTTACTGTGACCTCTTTCCGACAGCTCTGGTTTATTGTATTTACAATCCTTATGTATCATATTCCTTCGGTCGTCAGTTTAATTAAGGAGGTTTATTTAGAGGGGATATTAATCTTGTTGTGTTTGCCTTCCTAGTGGCAAACTATTACGGATTCATCGCACTTCGGTAGTTTGATTAACTGTGTTGCTGTAAGCGAACACTGTGGGAATTATGGACTGTTCTTTTTGTACTTAACTTCAATCCAGTGTGAGCGTTTTAGAAAATTTTCTGGCATTTCATTGTATGAAAAATTGTTTCTCAACACTTTCCCTTCGAAATAAAAATAAATTGAATTTCTATTTAATTTATGCATTTATTTATGTAATTATGTCGAAATCTTTAAAGAAGAATGTGAGGCTTAAAAGGGAGAACGACCCCATTTAATGTATTTTATGGTATTTTCTTTTCAAGTTTACGAAATGATCTGTAGTCAAAGAAATTGCCTCTCAAAAGACATCGCGAGTAATTCCTGATTTTACTCTCATTGTCATTGATTTTCGCAATACTTTTGCAATATGTACTACAAAGGACCTTAAGTGCTGCTTTATACATCGATTTAATTATAGGATATATCGAGAGCTTATGAGTATCCCAATAGACTATGTGTTTTTTTGCGCTACCATCTTGAAAAAAGTGGAAAGCAGCTGTGAAGCAATTGAGATGAAATGTCACGTTTTGGTCCCCAGTATTTTCTTTTACTAACTTATTTGATACTTATTCTCAACTTCCGAGTATTCTTTGTTTCTCCCGGTTATATCTATACTCATTTTCCAATGCGGGTAGAAATTGAAAGAAAAATGTGCTGCCTCCGGCCATGTGACAAGTGTCTGTGGTGTCAGATACTCTGGAAATCTGAAAAAATACAAAAAAAAAAAAAAATAATGAAATAGATTCGATTTTGACTGCAGTATACCATATATTCCGCATATTCTTACTGCACATACCGATTGAATTATCATACTCAGTGCGTCCCTACTTACACCACAACTGACGTTTTTGCGGCTAGAAGGAAGGAAAGGGAAGAGGACGCCTACTACAAGTGTTAAATACCTGCTATATACGTGTCGCGTTAAGGAAAAACAACGTTATTGGTATGCAAGAAACTTTTGCATTGTTTATATGCTTATATTAAACTGTGTCATTCCACTATTCGTCAAGATTGTTTTACTATCTCGCTACCTCTTACGCAGTAGAGAGAAAATTATTTAATGTTGAAAAATCAGCGAATTTTCGGCAGAAAAACGTATTGCAGGGCCCTGGTTACTAAAAGTGGATAAATTCAGTTCCTAAATTTACAAAAAAAAAATTCCATAGTGTAAAAAACACATAGTATAACCAGAATCCATGTTGTGTGGGTCCTTGATAGCGAAAAATCGATTGACGGCGATACGTCGGTCCGTCTGTCTGTCCGTCTCTCTGTCTGATGTCATGTATTCGTCTGTATGTGAACAACGCTAGCTGCTAAACCTTTAAGCCGATGTTCTGCAAACTTGATATTCCCCAATCGATATGGTTGAAGGCGCGGCCCCTTGCATTTCAAACCAATATTTTAATTTTGGGATACTTAACAAGAAGCCTGGAACGTTTTACAAATTTTCAAACAAATCGCTCCAACATTTTTGATAAATTTTGTTTTCAGATTGCAAAGTAAAAGATTAAAAGAATGGTGCAGGTCTCATGCCCGTGAAAAATTCTGTATTTTCGAAAATTGAAGAAGTTCTAATTTTTTCGGCGTCTACCTGCAACTATTAAGTATAGATATTTTTTTCTTAATGAAATCTATTTCATGAAAATACACTTTGAAATAAGATCAAGTACAATTTTTCAAACAATTTGAATACTTTTCGCGTAATTTTGCGTGAAATGAATGCAATTTTTTTAAATTTGTTTAAATATTTTTTTCTAAAAAAAGGCACACATTGTTTTGATAAAATTTTGAACTGGATAGCGCATATGGCTCTTAAGAGGTTGGTGCAGATCTCGTTAAAAATTCCGATTTTTTTAAATTGCAAAGATTAAAAAAAAGTTCCGGCGTTTTCCTATTAATACATTTGTGAAGGTAATTTTTTCTTAATGAATTGAATTGATCAAAAACAGATCGTTAAATAAGGTAATCTTCACTTGATTGACAATATAAGTACTGTTTCTGTAATTTGGCGTCAAACATAATGCCCGCTTCGAATTGCTCACACTTCGTGAACGTAATTTGAGAAGTGCTTGGAGGCAGTTGGATGCTACGTAAGTTAGACTTAGGGTATTATTTCATTTTTCTCCTTTCTTACATTCGATCTGTTGTTGTACCTATACAAATTAATCTTTTTAGAAATTATTAAATACCTATTTGATAATGTATGTTTTCTCTTTCAAGCAATCCGCAAACATTAATTGAAATTAGCCGAA